TATATAACATAATAAATCAGCCTTCTGATCAAAATGGAGTCAAGCTGCGTGTCCTCGTCCGAGGGGCTGCAGTCTAAGCGAGACTGGCGTGCAGTTTTATTTCCAGGTGTAGTGGCATATCCCTGCTCAATCCCACATACGTATTGCTAGATGGGGTGTAAAGAAGCAAACACAAGATGGGGGTTCTTCCGTGTAAGGATTTAGGGAATTTAGTCTATAGCTGGTGCTGGTGAAATGTGGATGACTCAAAAGACACCTGGGAGTGACTGACCAGCTGATGGCTGGTACTTGCTCTTGCTTTGTTGTTGTGGTATCTCCCTGTTTGTTCACGAAGTCTTCCACACATCCAAGGCAGGAATTGCCTCCAACATCCATGTGTCCACATACATCAAATATAAGTCATCAACGGCACACAGAATTTAAGAAATGGATTTCTGTTGTAAGGGAAATGATTGTGAGAACAAAAAAGGTTTTTTACCACGTACTCCATTACTGTCATGCTCTGCTGCCAATTTAAACACTCCTAGAACCTTGGATTTTAACAGAGGAATAGATTTGGATTCCTAGTTTCTTCAGCTCTTTTTTGACACTGGTGTTTGTCCACTCAAAACAAACATAAAGCTACCTGGTGTCTTTGTTTAGACCCTTATTGTTTCATGTACGTAAAAGGGAATCTGTCACGAACTGAAATTGTCAAGGTCTTGCCATCAGATTGCGAGACCATTTTGCAACACTGCTCTAAGTAACTATACCCTGGGATGAGCAGGAATCCTACGAGATCCTTCCAGTTTATGACATGATAGTTTTCAGGGATGAGCTCTCAGGCTTTCTTGCAACATTTTTTTTTATTGGTAGGTAATGGAGTACTGATATTATAAATGGAGACACTGTGAATCCAGTATTGTTATTTTAAATGGGGACACTGTGACCTCTACAATGACACTACATATCTGACTGGGCCAAAAGTCTAATAGAAAGTTTTGTCCCCGTTTCTTGAGTGCACCAGCAGAGTTCAGCCTTTTAACCTATCCTATGTAACAATGCAGTTTGTACCAGTAAAGTGATTTTCTTCAAACACTGAGAGACTACTCAGAGCTCTACCCCTCTCTGTTCTCTCTTCACTGTTGATAAACTTCGCAGTTTTTACCAGTAAAGTGATTTTCTTCAAACACTGAGAGACTACTCAGACAGAGCTCTACCCTTCTCTGTTCTCTCTTCTCTGTTGATAAACTTCTGTGGCGTTCACATTCTTTGAAAAAATCCCTTCACCCAGGATTTTTCTCCTGGGAAGCTGAGAAGCCTCAGAGAAAAAGGAAAACAATTCTTATCTCATTTGCTTCTCTTCTGTTTTGTTCCTTTGGAATGTGTTTGGAGATTGTTTACCCACAGGTGATTGTTTCATTGGATACTGGTGTGAGTTATTTTCACTCATTGGCCAATTGGGGCCAAGCTGTGTCAGGGCTCTGGCAAGAGTCACAAGTTTTCATTATTATCTTTTTAGCATTCTGTCAGTATCCTTTCTGCTTTCTTTAGTATAGTATAGCATAGTATTCGTTAATATAATATAGTGTCATAAAATAATAAATTAGCCTTCTGAGAACATGGAGTCAGATTCATAATTCCTTCCTATCACAAAAATAATAAATTAGCCTTCTGAGAACATGGAGTCAGATTCGTCATTCCTTCCTATCATGAGGGTCCCTGCAAATACAATAAACTCTGGCTAATTAAACTGCATATATTTTACTTCACTTTTGTACCATATTTCTCAGCAATTTGTCTCAGAGCATTTTAAAAAGACAAACACTTTTCTCCTGATTTCAATGTGAGTTAAGGAAAAATGCAGTGGTGTTAACAGGATGATGACAAAGCAAGGAATAAAGCCTAGAACCTGGGGATTCATAACCTGGAACCTGGGAATTCATTGATGGTTTTCCTACAGGTTTATAGTAATTGTAGTCATGTCTTGGAAACTTTACTAGCATTTTTGTAGAACATGGTGTGTGGTCTGCTTGTAATCTTAGAAATTCATCATCTTCTTGTAAAAGAGTGAAGAATGACTGGTACCCAAGCCACTAAAGAGAAATGCACCTACAATCTTAGTAGGATTGGTGTCCCCTGCAGTTAAATAGATGCAATTCTTATACAGTCAGCATAGCAGATTATTTCCTCCCACTTCCCAGAATTATAAAAATAGGGTATTGCTAGAGGTGGTTTTGGTGTTGCAAAGCAGAAAATTACTGAGTCCTTTCTCCAGTGTCCAGGTAGCACAGATCCTCACACATTTGAGTAATAGATTTAGCAGGTAATAGGTAACATGGTAGATATGTGTATAGAAGCCTGAGTAATAGATGAGATGGCTTTGAGTAAGATAGAGTTCTGAAGGGGACAATGATTTTTTTTTTTCCTGGTTTGATTTGGGTTTTTTGTTTGGTTGGTTTTTTTTGGATTTTTTTTCTTATTTTTTGGTTTGGTTTGGGTTTTTGTGGTTTATTTGTTTGTTTTTTGTTTAGGTTTTGGGGGAGCTTGGGGAGGTTTCTTGCAGGGGGTTGTTGTTGTTGTTAGGGGGGTTTTTTGTTTGTTTGCTTTTTTTGATTTTTTTTTTTTCTTTTAGGTTTTGGGGGAGCTTGGGGAGGTTTCTTGCAGGGGGTTGTTGTTGTTAGGGGGGTTTTTTGTTTGTTTGCTTTTTTTTATTTTTTTTTTCCTCAGGAGAAATACCACATTCTGTTTACAGATAATTTTTGTGTATCTGGCCAGACTCATCCCTTCTATAAATCTTTTTCTCTGACTAGGATCAGGGAGAGAATTTTAGTCAGCTTCTAGTGGTATTAGTTTTGTGAGCCCTGGCTTTTAGGTCATGGCTAACAGATATTCAAATGGACAGCTCTTCTCTGAGTCTATTTTTTTAATTGCTCATTTAAACTCATATTTAAATGTGGTATTTTTTTAAAGTTCTATTTATTTGTTATCTTATATAATGTAGACATTGTAAACTAAAATTACCATAACACATTTAACTTGCTATTTTATTCGTGTAAGGATACTGGTATTTCATGGGTCCTGAAACAGATAACAAGTATAGACCTAGAGCGTGGGATTAACAAGATAATTTGCATTACCTGAACTGTTGTTTTAACTGGAGATTCCACTTCCCTCATGAACTTAACTGGGGAGGGAAAAAAGACACATATGATAGTTTAATTGTATTGCTTTGTGCCTTGAAAGGTGCTGAGCCTGTTGGGAAAAGCACCTGACAGAGGTGCTGGCTGGGCCACGGGAGCAGCACTACCCTGTAAGTGTCCTTGTCTTCAGCACACCAGGGGGAAGAAGATCAGTAACTGACTGAGCAGATGTTTTACAGGAGTTTGATTTGCTGTGACAATCAAGGGCACAACTCCCAAATGAAGAAAGCTCCTTGGTGGGAGAGGGTTTCCATATGCAGGGAGATTGCCTTGCATTGCCTTGTTCCATTTATCAGCTGCCCACAGGGGATAGGTATGCAGGAGGTGTCACCAACCATTCGTCCTGCGGGCTTCTCCTCATCTCAGTCTCCTTTTTTCTTTGCAAATATGAGCTCTTAGCCACTTAAGACCAACAATTTATTTTGCCACTATATTTGACATTATTATATTCTCAATTATTTTGTCAGTCAGCTATACTTACAGATGCCTTAATGAAACCTAAACAAAACTTATTCATACAGAAATGAGATATTCTTGCCTAGGAAAAGCACCAAAAAGATAAAACTTTTAAAAACATGATTTCTGACAGTGAATCTTGTAAAACTGTGAGGCAAAACATTTTGGTGTTTTGCTGCTTCTGTGTCATTTTAGTCAGTTAAGGGGTTATTTTCTTCCCCCAAAATACTGCAATCCTATTAATATAAGTTTAGATCACTGTTAAGCAGGACCCAGAAGTTTACTAGTACATTGATGATCTCTCACTTTGCAAATTACTTCAAAGAAGAAAATATATTTTAGCAATTTAATATGTGTCTAAGATAAGTTTTCGAAACCAACAAAGTGTATTTCCCTGTGTATTTTCACAGTGGTTTATTTAACATTTCATCTCCTGCATTCCATGTACTCAAGTTCTAGGCTGCTCTTTCTGTATATAACTTACATTTCATTGCCAGGATGCCATAGCAATTTTTTCTAATTAAAGAACTTCAAGTATTTTTATTCCCCCATCCTTTCCTCCTAACTGTTTTTCAAAATTGGTATTATAATACAGCTTTCCTTTAATCTGTCTCCTCACTAATTTGAATTATTTTGGGAGAAGGAGATTCTATTAAATGCTATTAAATGCTACCAGAGATGTTTCTACTTTCACTTTTTGTCACTAAAATCTGAAGCACGAGAATTTGATTCAGCAAAGACCATATATGCATTTTTACAATTAAAAACCTTTTTTTCTTTGTAAAAGAAAGGATGTATGTTAGTCATCCTTAGTAGTTTCACATGTGATTAAAGCCTGACTTGTTTTAAAACTAAATTAATCAGCTTTATAAAAATCCATCTCCCATTCATTGTAATAGCATGGCATTTATCCTACTACTGGCCAAACTGAGTTTAAAGGGCCAGTTCACTCCAGTGAATGCTTGTGCATGTGTCTGGAGTGACTAGCTGTAGATAAATTTTCATGTTATTACTAAAATGCATTCCATTTTTTTGCAAGTATAATGTTGTGTCTGTCATGCTACTCATATAAGAAAAGATTAAAACAAATTTTTAAAGTGTTTGTCTGCTTTACTCAGGGCAATACTGCTTGTTTTCAACTAATAGACTCATAACCAGATGAACCATGTAATTTTACAGATTACACTGTTAAAATTTTCAAAACATTTTGGCAGTTTTTATGGAGGGACGTCACTCCACACCGAGCGCAATTCGGAGAAAAGAAAGAAAGTTTCTCCCTCGGAGGTATTTAAGAGGTAATATATCTTTAAGTGTCTCCGCCTCTGAATCCACCCACTTCTTGATAGCTGCAGCAGCCTTGTTGACTCACAGAAGCCGTGTTCATGCAAGAGCCAGCGATGAGCAGTAATTTTCAGAGATTTTAACAGCACACCTCCTGCTATGTATTTCACATTCTAGCTTGCTGGGGCTGAAGCTGTATGAAAGAAAGTTTTATGTTTTGAAGAGATTGCAAAAGATAGTTCCTCCTCTCATCCTGGAAAATCCTGACAGACCAGTTGGATACCTTTCAGGCCTTAACCAAGAACTTTATCTGCTCATCCCACTGTCTTTTTTACAGTAGAAAGGCCCGAGACACCCTTAAGGACTGAGAATCTGACTAATTTAAACAGATGGCTAATCCCAGTGCTGTGTGCAATGGACATCTACATCATCATCATCATCAGAAACAGAATAACCTCTTAAAAAGTGGAATATCTAAGAAAAATGGAATCACTAATGGAACGAAGGTAAGGTTTAATTGTTTACCCTAATTGCCTCAATGTTGAAAACAAATAGGTAGTTGCAGCATTACTTACTAAGCTATTTTTATGGTCATCTTAGTGTCCATTGAACAGCTTGTATGGATTAGGCTTGAGTGTTAATTTGTAATCGTGGGACCTAACACTGCTTTTGTCTCTCCTAAACTGCAGAGAGAGTTGGGAATGTTCATGCAAATGCTGTTGATCCCATGGACTGACTTAGTGTCTAGTTCATACCAAAAACAACAAACACAAGTAGTAGCTTCCTTCTAAAGCTTAACCGGTGGTGGACTTGACTTTGCCATGTATTAATCACTAGTGGAAAGCTGTTTTGCCAGCTTCAAGCGTGTGTGGAGTAATTTTTAAAGTGTGATTTGTTGCTGTACAAGTATAACAACAGAAATACGTAGGCAGGCAAAGCTCCTTTTCATGTTTACATTTATGCAGGGATGGCGTAGCTGATCCCCACACTTTACTGATGCCTGCTCTCCAGCCTTGTACTGCTCAAAATCCAAGTCAGTTTACTTCCTATTTTCTTAAGCTGTTCTCTTTGAAGCAGCACTTCTCACATACATGAATATTTTGTAGAACTGTTGGCATGAAGAATGAACAAATCTAAAAGTATTCCTTTACCAAAAGAGCCTAGATCTTAAAGGTTGTCTCTCTGTGATGCCTGTTCTGACTGGGAGCTTACTGTCTGCCTTGGAATGTCCTAATTCTGGATCTTGATGTGATCATTAGGAGAAAGTCTTGTAGTGACTATAAGGCTGGCTTTACAGCACGGTGTGGGAGTGACAGGGGGGATGGAGAAGGTTGCTTGTGGAGCCTGTGTGCTCACCTAACCATCCCTGCTGGAAGCTTTAGACAAGGACTGTGGTGAGGGCTCTGCTGTTTTACAAATAAACTGCTATCTTTTATCTTTCTCTAAATGGGGCTCTCACACACCTTAGCGCTCTAATGAGGGCACGCCCAGTGTCATGCCTAATGGTTGTCTGGCTTTAGGTGTCTCCCCTGGTATGAGTATTTCCCAATCACTGGCTTGTGTTGGATGAGGAAAGCAAAAAATCTTGCACAATGATTGAAAAAGGCCTTTCTTGGATTCGCTTCCAGAAACCTAATTCAGTATTCTCTTGTATATCACATACACCTCCTCATAATTTTGTATATTAGCTATTTGCTGCAATGGTGTTCTAAGTCTTTGCTTTCCATTTGTGACAGATTTCAAGGACTAAGTTTTGCCATTCAGTTACTGCTAACCTGGTGTAAATGAGTGATTTTGAAATCCCAGAAGGGCATTAATTAGAATTTCCTCCTTAACAAAAAATATAAGTAAACAGGTAGAGAAGTAATGACTAGTATTATTGAGCATGAGCAAAGAAAAAAAAGGAAATAAATATTGGTCTGAAAGGGGTGGCAGAGAAGTGAAGGAAATATTATTAGATGCACCTTCAAGATTAGTGAAGCCTTACAAGCACCACATGGTCAGAGGAGAAAGTGTTTTACCCTGCTGTGTGACACCTGACAGTAGCACTGAGCCACTTGTACATGCCATCCATGGCTGAGGGAAGTGGTGAGGAAGTGAAGACTTAGAAAGTTCAGGAGGCTTATCAAAGGCACATTTGGTAAGTCTGGGTCGAGCACCGTGCTCACAATTACATACCATTTCCCCTTTCTTCCTGCTCCAAACACAGAAAGAAGGAAACAATAACAGACAAGAGTCCTGAATGAACCAGGAATCTCATTCCTGGCAGGAATCTCCCCATTCCTGTCTGGTCTGTTTCCCCGCCCCAGCTGCCTCACCCTGTTCAGTGCTTATGCTTGATGCTATTTTACAGGAGCAGATACTGTTCCTTCCTCCCTGTGCTGTTTAGGAGCCTCTGCTGGAGGTGTGCACACACTCCTCCTTGCGCTGGCATTGGCCACTCCTCGCTGGGCTGCGCTTCCCACTTTACAAGCTGGGATCTGAGAAGCAGGGAATGTGGCAGCTTGGTGCACAAGGAAGCCTGTACAAGGTTTCCAGGTGTCTCTTAATTCCAGTCATTCTTCCTTCTTCCTCTTTTGCTCTTCAGCCGCCTTGCCCCTATTTCTCGTAACACTCTGACACATGCATTTGTGTACTTCACTGCCCATGCAGTAAATTAATTGACCATTAAACACCTTATATAGCAGATATATAGAGCTGGTGTATTCAGGGAATGTGACTGGTGATGCTGTTTCTAGACTTGTGATAGTTCCAAAACTTTTGGGCTTACTTACAGCTGTGCTACTTTGCAAGGAGGGGAGGAGGGAGAGATACTGTGGTTTGAGAGAGGCAGCTAGTGCAGGGACTGCAGAGAGTGAATGGCACAGTGAAGGCTTCTAGGCCTATACAGTTGTCTGACTGGAACATAGGCTTTGCAGCAATCAGCTTTATAAACCCTTTTTTTCCAAGGGAGCCCCTGGAAGCGCTGGCTTCAGGAAATGCTGGCTTTGGAAACATTGTTTTTGAAAACACTTGCTCAAGAACAATGTGTTTTGCATCTTAATGATGTAAGAATATTTTGTGTGTCTGTGCGTGCTTAACAGAAGTAGAGAAGCAATTCTGATACCACAAAACCCCCCGGGTTTCTAAAGAAAGGATTTTGTTTAATGGGTTGGGAAAGGTAATTAGGGATGATCAAATGTGGGGGAGCAGGGAGGCTCTCTTTGCTTCTAGCAATCTGTGGCATGCCAAGGACAGAAAGGAGGTAGCTGAGTGATAAAGAAGCACTGAAGCATCCTACCAGAAGAGAAACTGTTGCTTTTGGGGAAGTGCTGGAGTGCTTTGGGGTGGGACTGTTTGCTCAGATAGCTTCTGTGATTGTTTTAAGTCAGATTCACTCAATTCTAGCTGATAGCACAGACTCTCCATGTACTAATGGATATCAGGCTTAACCATGTCCCCACAGCCATGCTTCATCCTGATACTCTTTGGAAGCTGGGCCCTAGCAAGACCTAAACTTTGGGAGGTGGGTTGTGGACCATGTCTTCCACTTTCTTCATGATTTTAACAGAAGCAAATGCTTCGTGTTCTTCCAGAACCCATGGTCTGGACTTGCCTTTGCCCAAAGCACAATTCAGTAGCTAACCTATTTATTTATGTAACTGTACTGGCCAGGAGAAGGTATTTCCCTAGCGATGGTCTCTTTGCTGTTATATTGCTGTCGACTGGGCACCAATAATAGGGAACATTGTATTTTTAAAACAATAAACATGTTTGTCTAGTGGAAACTTTTTTCCCTATAAAGCACATGCAACAGTTCCATTTCTTCGATAGATTATTTCCTTGGATGCTTTAGCCTCCAAGACATTAATACGCTATTTGTAAACTCATTATCTTTATGTTCTGCACTGAGAATGGCAGGGCTTGGAAGAAACGTGTAGTCAACAAGACTATAGGCTTTTCCAAGGATTTCAAGCTCCTGTGCGAAAGCAAATAAGAACCTGGGATGAGATCCAGACAAGGCACAAAAATGTGATAGTCTCCAACATTTGGAGGGTCCAAAATTCAGAAGCAGTTTAACTTCTGTCCTGTTACATCTGAATCTCTTCCTAGCTGTTCTAATTAGATAACTGGTTCAATATTCCAGCATCCAGTCTCAGTCCCTTCCATGCTCTTGGCACCCTAGTTTCTTTCCTCTCTTTTTTGCTTTCCAGTGTCATTTATTGCCTAACGACAATCTTAAAGAAAACATTGATTGTTTCAAAAGAGAGACATGAAAGGAATATGCCATGCAACTGTTCTCATGGCAGTAACTTTGTTGTATGTTGTAAAGGCCTCCTGTAATTTCTTTGCTCTCTCTTCACAAATGCGGATGGCACTTCAAGTGTTTTTGCAAACCTGGTGCAAGTGGGGCATTTTAGATGCATACTCAATATAAATGCTAAAGAATCTGGTAGGAAAAGAAATTAACTAATTCCCACAATCAGAGTCAAGCAATAAGGGTTATTATTAATAAGGAAAGAGCAAGGAGAGAGGGTTAAGGCTGATCAGGCCTTTCCAGGTGTTTGCAGCTTCAGTTGTGCAGCTGTACATAACATAATAGGATTTTTTCTGAAATATCTTCATATTTTGATATTGGTTTGGGTAAAAACAAGTTAAAAAGGAACTTCATTGAGTCCAGCCTGTTTCACTTGAAGCAGATCAGAATTTTGGGCATTTTTCATTGTGCATGTGTTCATAGAAAATGCAATTGCAATTTTGCCTCAGGAAAAAGTTGAGATTCGGTTTTCAGTCAAATTCTCTGCCAATTACTGTACCTGTTGCTTCAGCTGCACCACAGATACGACCTCCTCATCCTCAGCTCCTGCCTTCTTTTCTCCTTGGTTTCAAGCCTGAGAAATGTGTTGCTTTGCACCTGCCCTCTCAGATGATAATCACAGGTCTCGGATCCACGCCCTTGTTTCTGTCATCTGCCCTGCTATGTGATGAGCTCAATGCATTGGAAGCAGGAAACACTGGGGACATCTTTCTGCAGCCGAGGTGTCACCACTGTGTGGGCACATGTAACAGTCCCCGACTCTTGTAGCAATGCTTTGAGCATGTTGCATGGGACTTTAAAAGCAAGGCTGAGATTTTTCACATAGCTCAATATATAAGGTTGGTCTAAAGTCATTACCCTCTTAACACCTGGAAATCTCTAAATGCAGGTAATTAAATTTTGGAAGGTAAGGCCTTTACAGAAATAGCAGATAGTAATTTACTTTGGCTTGAAAGATTCAGCATGTCAGGTCTTTAAGGTCAACCTCCTCTTAGCACAGGAACAGCTCATCCTTCTACTCATGAAAGCAAGTAAATGTGTTGGGAGACAGGCTTAGCTACACACACATAAACTCAGCTCATGGCTGAGGTCCAATGCAAAAATAAGCAGTATACAAGAGGTAGAAACAAGAGTGGCCTTTGAAAGAGGAATTTTGAAACATTCTGGGGGCATGTAGCAGTGGCATTAGATAAGCCAAAGATCTCCTGG